TACTACCTTTCTCCCTTCCCGTTCTGTTGAAGACTTTGTGTTTGAGGCTCGCTCTTCCCTTCCCAGCAGCAGGAGGCTTTCGAGGGGCTGCAGCCCACCAGGCCGCAGGGACCTGCCCCAGGGAAGCTCCGCCTGAGCCCGGGTTTCTCACGCTGCCATGTGCAGGTGACTTGCTTGGGGACTTTGTCAAAGCAGATTCCAATTCAGTTGGCAGCCAGCGAGCAAGGGTGCAGACAGACTCCATCTCTAACCAATGCTCAGCTGCAGGCCAACCTTCCATGGCAAAGTTCAGCTAGAAAGCCCAGGCCGCACCCACGCTTTAGAGACTTTAAACAATAGGATGTCTATAAAGTGCTGACTTTCCAGCTCCTCTTATCGAATTGCAACACCTGATCACAGGACTGGCATTGCCAGGACACCCACAGGCAGGGACTGAGGAGCAGCTGCTCCCTGAAGGGACGTGAGGTTTCCGGTTTGCAGCCTGCTCCCCGCACACTTTCCAATCTGCAGTGCTCTGCCCAGTGTGTTCGGGACTCTGCTCTTAGATGGGCCAGGGAAAATCCAGGCAGCGGACTCTTAATGCCCAGGGTATGTGGTACATGACATGGATGGTGACTCAGGTAAGTGAGGGGACAGGAGGTCTAGGACTGGGACCCAACCTGTGTGATGTAAACTGTGCACGGGGCCTGCAGGACCGGCATACACGGCAGGGGCCCAGTGTGGAGGTGAAAGCCTCTGAATTCAGGTAGGAAGTCACAGGGAACAACAGAGCGTGTCTTTTACTCATTCAGTTCATTTATTAAGAGCGAAAGTTGGGCCATCCCATCTGTGTGATATTGCAAAGGAAAAGTCACGTACATACTAAGGAGACTCCCAAGAGTTGAGAGCCTTTCAACAGTACAGAGCCATAGATTACAAAATTAAAATACAAAGGATCCCCCCAAATCTGGCAGGAAACAGGTACAATATGAGGAGGCCTGGAATGGAAGGGCACTTACTCTTCAATAAGGCAGTTACAAAATGGACAAGAGAACCCCCCCAACCCCACACCCCAAAATACACTCTGGTGAGCATAACAGACAGCAGAGATGTAAGGGAGGGGCCGTGTGCCACCCTGTCATCAGCAAGGGGATTGATGAAATGAAAGCAACTGAAGGGCTTGCGGTGAGATGTAAGCTACAGAAAACAACTAATTGTAGACACTTCTGCCACAGGAAGAGGTCCCACTTTACCCACGATGGATTCCACCTTAAAACATCAGACCGATGTTACCCTTCCTAACTGTAAACTTGGAAACAGTCTACAACACGGGGAAAGGAATAGAAAGGCACCCCTGAAGCACCACACTGCCCAGGCATGGTCTTGAGCTCACTGCGCTTCAGCTCCATTGCCTAGCTCAGCGATGGACCGGAAATTCCGACATGAGAGTTCTACCTGGGCCGTAGAAGTCGGGCCAAGCGATCACAGACCAAGCCTACTTCATGAGAATTCAGATTCCAGGATAGCACCGTGCCTCCCACCAGGCCTCTGAATCCTGATTGTAACCTGTAGGCTAGATCTTTTTTTTTTTTTTTTTTTTTTTTTTTTTTTGAGACAGTGTCTTGCTATACAGTTCAGGCTGGCCTTGAGCTCACTTTGTAGCCCAGGCTGGTCTTCAACTTGCAACGATCCTCCTGCCTCAGCCTCCCGAGTGCTGGGATTACAGGCGTGCGCTACCACGCCCGGCTACATCGGTTCTTTCCTACCACTCATTTTGTGAAACTCAGCTGGCCTAAAGATGTCACTCAACCTTGGGTTCTCGGTCGGAGAGCCACACTGACTCTGAGGACTCTTCCTTTACAAGTTCTCAGGAGTCTGAGGACCAGTTACCTTAGACTGCTTGAGAATCAACCTGATTCTCAATAAGTCTCAATAAGAGAGGAGTGCTGGCCAGGCCAAGCAAGAGGACTGAGGCCAGGTCCCACAGTGCCACGGACTGCAGACAAACCTTGCTAGACTCCACTTCCTCATTCTCGCAGAATGCAAGACTGACAACAGCTGCCTTAAAGGACGTCCCGTCCCAGCTTGAAGATCGAGCACCTCTGACACTGACAGCCATAGCGCCCCACTCCCACACTCTTAAGCTTTGTTATCTTAGTATAAACCAAGTGCGAAATTCTTACAGGAATCAAGAAGCCTTTAAACTCCATGCAAAGTAACAACATTATCTTCAAATCTGGCTGAAGCTGTTCCTACCTGATGTTACGAGCGTTAGTTTTTGTGGGGGAAGCGCAGAACTAAGGCCTCGGCTGTCGTAAGTTATTTTTTAGCAGCCCCTCCCCTAGCACTTCAATAGCTTTCACAAGAACAAGCCAGGATCTCAGAAATTCTCTCAAAATTCCCCCACAAAGAGCTCAGCAGGATCAGCTCAGGGAGAAGGTTAGTCAGGGCACTGCAATGCCTACGTCCCAGGGCCTCCTTTCGGGAGACAGCAGTGTAACGCCATGGGACGGTGCCAGGAATCAGATCCCTTGCCAAGATGAAAGCCTTCCCTGCATGGCTCCCACGGGGCGGAGACCCAGATGGAAATTACAGAGAACACAGGAAAGCCAGGGGTTTAGAGACAGAGCAGGCTTCTCCCGGAGGTAGTGAGTTCTCTGTCTCAGAGATGTGTGAGCCCAGACTGCCCCCTGGCTGGGACCGCTGCAGGAGAATGTCAGCACCGATGGGGACGCTGCACTGGGTGCGTTAAAGGCCCTTTCCCAATCTTTGGACCTTGCCACCGCCGTGCCTGAGAGCACCTTCCCCGCTCTCACACTGGGACACCCGTTTCAGGAGGCAAAGCCCTGCAGAAAGTCCTCCCTTCCTGTCCCTTGCACCAGGCAGCTGCCCGGCAGGAGAGCAACAGAAAAGCCCCCACAAAATAACAGCTCAAGTGCCAAGGTTAGCTGCAACATTCCATCTGCAAGCATTATTAACACGGCTTCTGAGAGGTGAGCAGGGAGTACTTAGCTAGGACAGGAACATCTAACCACCCAGCAGCTGTAACACATACGTGACATTCCCCATTTTACAGCACCAGCCTTGAATCCTTTGGTTTTTAATCTTTCACGAGATTCAGCTCCGATCACTTGCACAACCTGTTGCCAACCTAAGAGTTTGTTCCTTGGAATAAGAAGCTGGTCCGATTGTGTTTTAAAAATCTTGGGACAGAATGACATGAGGGAGTTTCCACAAGGCCTCCTTCCGGGCACGGGGAAGAGCCACAGCAGGCTGGGATGGGGGTGGGAACCGTACTCTTTAAGGAAAAGACAATGCCGGCTCTGGATTCCAAATTCCAGTTGTGCCCAGAAAGATGGGAAGGCAAGGCTGCAATGTCAGGAGCAGGGAAGTGCAAGAGTCCTTGACGGGTGGTGTAAAACTGTAGGCGGCCAAGACGAACCCTGCTCTCCCCAAACCCCACTGCTCCCTGAAGCCAGGCCGTGCGGCGTGGGGGGCCTGGCTCTTCCTCACAGGCGGAAGGCTCCTGCCTGCGCATAAAGCCATCAGAAACTGCGGGGGAGGCTAAGGCAAGTGGCTCAGCGGTTTGATGAAAGTATAGACTTCTGGACATGAGAAAAATCATTCCAATAGCCTTGCCTTTCCTCTCACCTGATCCATTTGAAAGAGGTGAAGAGATACCCACAACCTCCCCTTTCCAAAAACAGCCCTCTTTTGAGACAGGACAGCGAGGGACTCAAGCGTGCACGGCACTGGCTGAAGGTGAGATGTCTCCCCTGGTTTCGGCCTGGAGCAGCAGCGTCCTCAGACACACTCGAGCAGATGGATCCGAGTGCCGCTCTTAGACCGTGCTCTCACCCAACCGGGCAAACAGACCGGCTGTTTAACAGTGGCCCCGGCTACACGCCTGCGATTTTGGGTTAAATACCAGACAGATACACTTTCTTCCTCACGGAGACACAGACACTGCCGGGGAGCAGCTGAATGGTGCCTGCATGGGTGGGTCCCACCCGTCCCAGTGCCCGCACTGCTCAGCCATCCTGATGCCCACATTAGCATCCACCAGCTATTTAGTAGGGAGACAGTGTCTAAATATGTACAGAATCTGAATGACCCATGTTGCCGGACAGAACCGCTGATGGGCCTTTCACAACCAGGAGTACAAAAATACGACCCCCGCCTAGTCCAGAGTATATTCTATGCACATCCATCTCTGTCTTTTTAAAGGCTGCAACCTGCTAGACATGCGTTTTGAACACTGACGAAGGCTTTGCTACACTGGGACACACTGCACTTTAGCGACAGCGGTGGCCCTGTCCCCTTCCACAAGAGCGTGCTGTGCTTCACAGAACTGAGACCTGCCGACATTCCACCGCCTGCTCGGTGCGGGTGTGGTCCTGCCCTCTCTAAGGCGAGGCTCGGATGAGGTGTCCATGAGGCATCCGCACTCTCTCCTAGGCCAAGCTGCCCATGGCTCCTTTTATTATTTAAGGCTTAAGAAATAGCTCACAACTGAAACCGAGTAGGACGACGACACTCTTGACCATAATATTTGTAGATGGAAATTAGAACCCAAATCCTTTTCTTCTTTTTCTGCCATCCTCCTATCCACATCCTCTGTCCCCGACAGACTGATTACAGAATTTTGCAAAAGCGTACTTTCAGATATAAAGCTTTGTTTTCACAGGGTGCTTTGGCTCAGAATGAGACAGAAGAATCTGACTTATTGAACAACAACCAAAAAAATCAGAAATTATGAATGCTTTAAAAATGACTTCAGTCATCTTTCTCCCTAAGAGGGAGGCAACGTCGTCATGAAAATGAGCACCAGGCGCACTGACCTCTGTTGCTCAAACCCATGATCTGCTGTGAGGCGGAGCCCGGGGGGCCCCAGGCCGGCCAGACTGTCTTCCCCACAGCTGGCTTTCCAGGAGCGAACCACGCGGGCCCTGGCAGTACTCCTGGTAGTTGTGAACTAAGGATTAATACTTCTGAAGACATGAGCCCCAAGCCACTAACCCTCACCTTATCAAAGCATTTATTGCCCAGGAGCATGGCTTAAATCACACCGCATGACCTCACCCCAAAGAACAGCCCAGAGGGTGTGGGAAAGACCTTCCTGTGACAGTTTCTCAGTCACCGATTCCAGAACCTCGGCACATACTACCTTGCTCATGCAGCTGCCCTGCAATCCGCACGTGATCTGCAACCTACATGCTGGTACCCGAGAGCTTCCCGCACGCCCAGCAGCTAAGCGGTGGATGACAGGAATGCAGAGGGCTCAGTTACGAACGGAGATGCTGCCAGGCTGGCACGGTCAGGACAGCGCAGTTAGCCAAGTACTGACTGCTCACGGTGTACCAGGCATGGGGCGGGGCGGGGGGACCAGTGTCAAACAGGTTTGTAATACCAGACAAAGCCTGTGGCGAAGTGGGACGGCTACACCCTCAGCGGGCGGGGCCGAGTCCCAGCCTGGGTGTGTGTCCCTGTCCCTCCAGGCCCACCTTACGCAGGCGGCAGCCTGGTGCTCCGAAGGGACGGCTCCCACCGCGTTTCCCACAGAGCTGACATCCTGCTTCGCTGAATGCTGCAACACACAGTTTTAACTTCTTCTTATGATCCTGTTTTTACAGTCCAGTAGTTACCGTAAGAGAATGTCTTTCTATACATATGCTGAATCATGACAATATAATCTCCTGACCAGAAAGATTTACAGTATTCACCAAACTTTTTTTATTTACAATAGAATTTAACAGTCTTTCCGGGCGTAAATGTAGCAGGTATCACCTGGGCGCCGAGCACTCTGCGGCCTGCTGTGGGGCGCGCCTGCCCTCACTCCAGCTGCTTGCCACTCTCTGATTTCTGGTCTAGTCTGCTCTTGTTACTCTTCACCATGTAGATGAAGTAGGCGAGCGTCTCCTTCTCATTCACAGGTATATTCCTGAAGTGTCGGCTGACCGTCTGTGGGTGAAAAAATAAAAACCCGAAGTCCCTTAAGCCGTGCATAAATCAGGGTGACAAACTCTAAGTCACGCAGTGTGGGCACACAGAGCGTGTCCAGCCGGAGGCAGGGGTTCACCGCGAGTGTGGAGCTCCCTGTCCTGCTGGGGAGCCCGCAGTGCCTTTCTTCCTCACCTCTTCCTGCAATGTGACCACGACGCGTTCTCTCACTGGCAGCCAGACACCCACCCTGGTGTGACTGCGGTCAGCACCCTACAGGCCAATGCTGGGACTGCTCTAGCCGGCCAGTTGCTACCAAACCTCGCTGGTCTTCAAAATGGGGAGGAGTGTGTCTTTTTTTGTGACAAACGAAGTCAATTCAATAGATGTAAGCAACTATACCCAAGAACTCTAAATAGCAGGTAACCACTTCTGAAAAGATGTAATGGACTTGCAAGAAAATTATGCGCTACATAATCTTGGTCCTTTCCTTCTTTTTTCGGCTGGGTAGGTGGTACTGGGGATTGAACCCAGGGTCTTCACACTGACCTGCATCCCTAGCCCATGTTACATTTATTTTGAGACAGGGTCTCGCTAAGTTACCCAGACTGGGCGTGAACTCAAGATTCCCTCCTTCGGCCTGGGATTGCAGGTGTGTGCCGCCGTGCCCAGGTCTCCTGCACTTTCTGAAATAAGACCTGAGAATGCAGAGCCCCTCTCTCCCTCTTCTCCTATCCTGTCCACTGGAGGTGAAGGCTGTTATCTTCAAGGAGGAAAGGCCGGTGTGTCCGAGTTTTATCTGGACACTGCTGAAGGGAGTGTTTAAGAAGAAAATGGAGCAGTGAGAAACCTCTAGAAGAAGACCCCAACCAACCAAGTCAGGAGCCTGTGAGGAGATCTCTAAATGAATGGAGGTGATGGGGACAGATGTAAAGAAAATTAAGTAACAGTTATCTCAGGAAGGTAGAACTGTAATTTTCTTATCTTATCCTTGCAAATTTCCTACAGGAGGCAGAAAAACACATCAAGAGGGTGAGAAAGTGAGTGTAGAGGTGCACATGTGTAGTCCCAGCTACTCAGGAGGCTGAGGCAGAAGGACCGCCTTAGCCCAAGAACCTGAAGACAGACCTGGTATCACAGCAAGTGCCCTTCTCAAAAAAAAAAAAAAAAAAGGCAATGAGAGAATACATGCCAAGGAAGAACCCTGCCTTCCAAACTGTGTTCAGAGGTTAGGACAGAAGAAAATTTTCTTTGGTATTATTCATTATACTTCAATTGCCAGCACCAGAAAAAAAAATCAAGGAAGAAAAAAGAAATAAAGAAAATTAGCTCCTGTAGAACATTAACAAAGGTTTTGGGGGTGATTAATCTGACATGTCTCATGTGCAGAAAGAATGATACCTATAAAGAATCACGCAAAAAGGGTACAAACAAACAACACTCAGGACTGAGAATCAAGGGTCCTGAGATTTCACAATCAGGTCTGCTCCCAGACTGTGTGATGCTAAGCAAGTCCTTTCCTCCCTCTCTGCTGTATCCTTTCCAGGCCTACAGCCATGGACTTCTGAATTCCATGAAAGAGGCCTGGACAGCAGCTGCCAGAGCTTTGCCATCACACTCCGAGGACACACGCTGCAGGGGCAAGTCAGGCTCAAGTCAGAAGCATGAAGTGGGGCCCTCTTTGGTCTACCTACTTCTGCTAACTGGGCCTTATTGAAGCCGGGCCTGGTCTGCAGCTTGTAGTGCCGCTTGTACCGCCGTAGTGTGTTCACCTGCAGCTGGAACAGGTCGACCTAGGGAGGAGAGGAGAGACAGGTTATTCCTCCCCCGAGCGGCCGGGACTCACCGAGGACCCCGTGCCCAGCAGACCCTAGGTAGGGTGAGGGTGGGGATGGCTGTGAGAAGTCGTCTGCTGAGGACTAGCGACTGGCCAGGAGGGCGAGGCCAACAGTGGAAGAACTCCAGCTGGGGTGGGTGGGGCCCAGGAGGCTGGTGGGAATGGTGAGGCTTAGGCCAAGGAGGGGCAGTGAGGAGAACAGGAAGGACGGCGGAGCAGACGTGCGCACAGGGATCCGGGAGGTGAAAGCGCTGGGGCTGTAAAGGTGACGTGTGTGTGTGTGTGTGTGTGTGTGTGTGTGCGTGCGCTATGTCTTGAGAAGGAGGAGGTGCCGTTACAGGGGGTACAGCATGACATCAGGAAGGAAGAACGGGCGGAAGGAAGATGGGACAAGGGGTGAGGGGGACACTGGGGGCGCCGGCAACGATCCACGAGAAATGATGCTGTCCTGGAGGGTGACAGGCCAGAACCAGGCAGCAGGCGGGCACGAAGGACAGCGCGGAGAAAGGTCACGTCTGGGTGGTCCGTCCCGAGGCTCAGCCTTTGGTTATCAGAATTCCTAATGTCTCTCCGGGGAAAGCTCGAAAGCTACTGCAGTGCATGTGTGAATCAGCAGGCCAAGGCCAGGGTCTCTGCGGACGCCTGATGAAGGGGAGGAAAGGGCCCCGCATGTTCTTTCTGACACAGGAGGACAGGAAAGCTGCACGGTCATGAGACGGGGAAGGCCCGGGAGCTGGGCTGCCTTTACCTGCCTCTAAAAGAGCTGTTCTTGCTTCAGGCAGGTGGAGACCACTTAAAAACAAAATGAATGAGCAATATGAGGGGCCAGAGTCCTTCATGTGTTTCAAAACAGTCCTCAAAACCCCCTTCTTTGGGTGAAAGGCACTTAGAAACCAAATACATCTTTACAAAATAACGACAATGCCACAGGCAACAGGCAGAGACTGTGAACTACGGTGGAAAAGCCGACTCAGGAAGGGCGGAGGGAAAGGGCTTGATTTCAAAGGTTTCCTCCACATGTGCGGACAAAGGCTGCCTCCTCCCCGTGTTCCTACGCAGTCATTTTCACTCTGAGTGCTAACAGGCGGCTGCCTTATGAAATATTCACGCATCAAATATTCAGTGTACACTAGAAACGGTTCTTCTTTTGCTGAGTATTAAGTGGAAACAATTTAGACAGAAAGAAAACCCAATACTCTTTCCTGCAGCCTCTCTCAGTACAATGGGTTCCCTGAGGAAAGGAACCTTCGGGGAGGGAGGCTGCGATCGAATGGTCTAGTGCAGTGGTCCCGAACCTGGGACGATTTTGATCCCTGAGCACGCGCGGCCATGTCTGGAGGCCTTGCTGATCGTCACAGCTCAGGGGTGCCGTGACTGGCGTCCAGATGTATAGCCAGGGACTCTGCCAAGCGCCCCGTGATGCACGGGACGGCCCTGCCACGCAGTCATCTGGCACAAGTGAGAACAGTGCCAGGGCTAGGGGACTGGTCTAGGGCTGACCCTGAAACGGATCTTTGGTGGTCGCGGAATCAGATCGCGGCAGAAAAATCAGAGTTGGTAAGGGCTGAGGACGTGCACCGGATGACGGGAGGGAAGACTGCGCCGGGCACACACACTCAGTCTCTAAGCTTAAAGGCAAAAACAAGGTTTAGGAAAACTGACGCGGTGGTTGTCCGGAAGCATGTCAGCGGCTTTCTGAATACAGCAGCGTGGCTCTTAGGAAGGGCATGAGACAGAGCCCAAGTCTCTGTGCCTGTCTACGAAATGACAGGCGGCGTCCCGACTTCCAGCCCTGAGTCCACCAGAGCCAACGTTACTGTGACGCTGTGACTCACTCTTCAAATAAACCGCGGCAAAACGAGGGGGACTAATGACTTCTCAGCACAAAAAGCGGAGCAGGTCGGAAGGAGGAGCGGATTAGAACCCACTCTTCCATCTTTGTCTGGCTCAAGTTTTTGGCCTTTACCTCAGGAATGTCGGTGTCGTGCTCAGGAGAATCCCCACCATCATCACTCGTCTTTCTCTTCCTTTTATTTCGGACGCTCTGGATGAAATTTTTGTGGAAATCACAGATGTACAGGTGCCTCACCTGATGGGAAGAAGTTAAAGTCAGGGTTGCCAATTCCACAGAAAGAGCAACAGGCACCTGTCAAACTATGGGACTTATTTTTCTTAGCAAGGCATCGTAGGAATGTAAGGAAAACCAAGATGTAGGCCACAGCTTTCCAAAAGCTTGCCACTGGGGTCCGAAACAAGAAGCGCAGACAGAGCTGGGGTGTAGCTGGACGGTAAAGGCCTGCTGAGCATGGCCAAGGCCCTGGTTTTTAGCCCGAGCACTACCATTACCACCACGGCAATGACAACCAAGTCTGCAAGCTTTTGTTTGGCGCCGGGAATAGAACTCAGGCCCTTACGCTTGCCAGGCAGGCGCTGTGCTGCTGACCTACATCCCTGGCCTCTAGCACTGCAAGTCTGAGAGTAGCCCAAGCAATTTAGCGACTAAGGGAGACCCTGTGTCCAAAAAAAAAAAAAAAAAAAAGAGAAAGAAAGAGAAGAAAAAGAAAAAGAAAAATTAAAGCGTTGGGAATGCAGCTCAGTGTGAGGGCCCTGGGTTCAGTCTTCACTACAGCCAAGGAAACAAACAACAAGAAGAAAAGAAATACACAAAGGAAACGCAAATGCCACAGAGCACTGTACAGACCAAGTCTCTGTGGAACGGTGAAGACACAGATGACAGGGACTTGGCAAAGGGAGAGGCGCTGCAGCTGAGACGGTCAGGAGAGGCCTGTGACTCAGAGGGAGGGTCTGCACAAGGCACGAGGCACACCCAAGGACAGCTAGGCGGAGTGTTCCCGAGGAGCGCGACAGCAGGGCGACGGCCCACGCAGGAATGGACGGAGAAATGCAGGGGTCAGGGCGCATGAGGACAGCCCAGACTTCCCCTCACACAAGCCCGGGCTTCTGAGGCAGGAGTGACGAACGTGTCCAGGAGAGCGCAGGAGTTATGGACCCCCAGTGCGGAGGGGAGGGAGGAAGTGGGGGCCGTGGTACCAACACACGGGCATCCTATGTGACACAGACCACAGCTACTACTGTAGCCTGATAGCTCTCTGAGGAACTATTTCTGTGCATCAGCGTGCAGCTCCTCTATCACCTCACACCCGATCCACGAAGAGAAGTGCAAATTCTCACACAGTGGAACCACGGAAAAGGAAGGCTGATACTATCGCTGATCTTCTTATACAGGCTGGAGGCACATTAGTGAGTAAAGGTGCCAGAAACAGCCAAGATGTGAGTATGTTTTTACTTAAGAATGTAAGAACCAGGGTTGTCTGGAGGAGCCATTCAAAACCCTCACAGGAGCCAAACGCCTGTGTAAAGGACTTGGGGTTGTTGATATTGAAACAGATGTGGCACAAATGTTCTGAACTTGAGTTTATTCTTTAAATCCTAAAGATAAAAGTAAGCTGACAGGAAATCCCATCGATTAATGCAGGCCTTTTTATGAAGAAAATAATGAAAACTATTTTTCAGATGAATTATCACTTTCATGTGGTTGGATGACTGAGAAACGGCAACTTTCAAGTCTACTGCCATGGTGTCCTGCAGACAGCAGGCGTTCGATAAATGCAGATGTGTCAATCCAGGCAAGTGACAAACTTGGTAAGACAGGGCAGAACAGACTATTTCCCAAAGCTCTGTCTAGGAGATTTCAGGTCTCCGATACTAGAACAGTGAAATGCTAGCTAGAAGAGAACTTTGGCTGGGTGTGGTGGCACACACTTATAATCCCAGTGTTTGGGAGGCTGAGGCAGGAGGATTGCTGTGAGTTTGAGGTCACCCTGGGCTACATAGTGAGTTTAAGGCCAGTCTGAACTGCATAGTGAAACCCTGTCTCAAAAAGACCAACAAAGAAGAAGAAGAAGAGGAGGAGGAGGAGCAGCAGCAGAAGGAAGAGGAGGAGAATTTAGCAATCCCTAATGTAACTCCTCTAACTCCAGTTGTATTTTTCAGAGGGATACACTGAGGTCACCCAGAGTGAAGAAATGGCCTCGCCAAGGTCATCTGGGTCTTCTGACCCCAGGATGTGACTCTTCCCATCCCAGTATTTTCCTTTATGTCATTCTCTCTCTCTTTTACTTAAAAATTTTTTTGTTAGTACACGCCTGCAGTACACAATGACTGCAATTGTGGTGGCACGGTGGTACCTGTACGTAACACATCTTAACTCCTTTTATGTCTCCTTCTACTCTTTTACACTATCCTCAACTTCTACTTTTTCTCTAGGAAAAAAAAAAAAGGCAGGAATATATCCATTGGAGAATATTTGCAAGGATGTTAAACCTTAATAAATCACAGACCACCGCCAATGCCTATGCAAAATGAGTTAAAACTATCTGAGTTGGGTTTTTGGTGCTGTTATTTAAAAGAGCTCTCCGCTACATCTTTTTACAAGACATACAGTCACTGTAACTGTCACCATTTCACCCTCCACACTGCTTTTCTGAAATTTCAGAGCGCAGCGTCCTTTGGGGGTGGGGCGGGGAGCAGGAGGGGACAGCAGAAGCTCTCAGGTTGTTGTTTTCCTGTTTCGCTTTCAGCAACAGCTAAAAATTCCTGTATCACAGCAGTTACTGGGAATTGAATTCCTGCCCAAGCCTGTGAGAATAAAATAGAATTCCTTTCAGAAATAATGACTCCACACCACCACCTTGAAATAAACTGCGAGTGAAACCCTACCTTTTCAGCAGTGCTACACTTGGGGAAAGCCAGTGCTGGGCGTGGGCGCTGGCTCTTCTAGACAGTATGTGTGAAACGATCAACGGAACTCAACTCTGGTCTTGCAGTGGGGTCACAGAAGCTAAACGGGGCCTCAGTTACAGTGGCGAAAATCACCCACACATGAAGGCACTCAAGGCTTTAACAGGACTGGGAAATTCTATAAGGGGCTCAAGTAAAGGCTACTAACAACCTACACAGAAGGCAGACATTGCTTCCAGGTGCAGCCCTGCGTCACTGTCCCAGAATTAGACATTTCGCTTCAACATGCGACAGTCAGGGACCGCCGAAGTGTCTAGCCACCTGTTTGTTCCTGATGAATTCGTTCATTCACTAACGGACATTTTTGTAGTAAGAAAGCCATGAACTCACCGTCCATCTTTTAAAAACAGCAACTTTCAATGCAAGAGCTGCAAATCTATTTTAACGATTAACTTCAAAGAAAATTGAGGGTAGGCAGGAAGGGCTTGGAAGGTCAAGCTTTGTTTACTTAAGTCTTACTGGGGCCCAGGATATGGGGCCTGCCTGGTGAGTGCAAGTTCCTGAGTTCGATTCCTGGTACCCCGCCAAGAAAAGTCTTACTAAAGGCTTATGCAGGCGGCTTGGAAGTTCAATCCGATCATGGATTTAGGAAATTAGCCAGCCCCCTTGGTGCTGTGTGCATATGACACCACCACTTTCATACATCTGGGGCTCCATCCCAACTGTGGGATCAGAAGTGGAGAAGTGAGCTTCCTTTCAGTTTCACAAGTAATCTCTTATTTTCCCCCAGATGTAGAGACATTTTGGACCTAAAGGAAAAGGGATGTTAACCATCTAAACTCCCAACCTACCTGAATATTAAATATCCCTCCTTAACTCGTTTCCAGTTCCTAATTGTGAAGCAGCCACTCACAGCTTGCAGCCACAAATGTCAAACTAAAAAGTTCCTAATTGGCTGACAATAGGCACATCTTCAGAATTGTTAACTAGAAGTAGTGAAATCACACAGGAAAAGTCCCCTATCATTAGGCGCAAAGCACAGGGCACATTTAAATCTCCACCTCCGCGTTTCCAAAGATGCCACCCCTCAGAAAACTGGTTTTCTTCCCCTTCCAGCTACATCGACTACGACAGCCATCTCCCAAGACCTGGTTTGGCCTTATTTCTGCCACATCTAGAAAACTCATCCCCGCAGCTGCCTGCGGAGCCAGATCGGCGACGCTCTGCAGAAACAGTCTGCGGGAGATGGGAGGGAAGCGCCACCTCTCCGTCTGAAGCAGGGACAGGGTTCCCCTGCGGGCCAAGTTGGGAGAGAGTCAAGTCCCTTCCTCACCCCCCTCCCCCAGTCCTTGCTCCAAAATCAGCCCAGCTCTCGCTGCGCTCCTCTCTGAACCAAAACAAGCTAGAAACTGCTGTCAGAGCTTCCCGGGCAGGCAGGCGTCCTCGCAGCGGCCTCTACCCGCCCCACGCCACCCC